GAATGGAAAAATTTTCTAGTCTTTCAAGAGAGGAGCCAAGTAATAATAGCGCTGTGATTCTCATTCATGTCCATTTCAAACCCACCCCATTATCACAGTATCCGTCTCCACTCTCATTATTATCCCAAAGCCAAGAATACGTATTTTCTTCTTGTCCGCATACCTCATTTCCACCATTAATGACATTCTCCCATTCCCAATCCCATTCAAATCCATTCTCTCCACTCGATGGTCCCAAACTATCAATCAGGAATATTCCGTCGCTGTCACTGCACTTTCTGGTAGTGATAGTTCCTTCTTCTCTTTCCTTATGATCCGGACTCGAATTCCCATTTGCATCCACCATAAAGTCATCAAGGCACAGCATTTCCATTCCTTCATTATTCGCCTCCACTTTCTGGCCGGAGCCTGGCTGGGGACTAGGCATATCTAGGGTTTCAATTACTTGTTCTCACGGGCGGACCCACATGGGATCATGTGGGGTCAAATGACCCCACAAAATTTTGCCCTTTTTATTTTTATTTTTATTTTTTTTAACAATCTACTTTGATGCACTCGTCGGGATATCAAATGAAGTCAAAATATTGCATTCTTAATACCATTTCGAAGTGTTCATGGCCTAGTTTTTCACACATTAATGGCATGCGAAGTAGTCAATTATAGCAAAAGTTATGACATGTTAAAGTAGGCCATTTGAAACTAATATTTTGAGAGTTTCGATAATATCCTAACTTTAAAAATTCGTTTGCAATCATGTGCTATCTAAATCCACAAATCGTCTATACCATATAAAAGTTTGTTTCAAAAACTACATTGTTTTCATATCGAATGGTCCAAACGGATATCGAAAATAGTTAAATATGTATCAAACGTACGCCTCAAAAAAGACGTCTAACTCGTTTTTCTTTTAAAAACTCAATTAATTATTATTTTTGCACAATAAATTTTTCAATATAATTTATATTGTTTCATTCGGAAGTCTTACATGAAATATGATGTAAATTTTTTAGGGTTGTTACGGATTAAATTCTATTTGAATTACTTTTGAATTATATATGTTTGCTTTAAATTTGATTTTCATTTACTTCCTGAACTAAACTTGAATTTTATTTCAATTCATTTAATTTCTATATTCAATTTAATTTACTCAATGTTAGTTTAGCATTTGCCAACGGAATGATAAACAAAACTATACAAGTAGCAAAATTTATTTAATAATATTAATAATGATGTAATTATATGAAAGTGTCAAAATACATATTAACTTATTTTCATTGATATTATGTTGTTTATTAAAAAAATTATTTTTAAAATTTTGACCCCACAATACTAAACCTCTGGATCCGCCCCTGCTTGTTCTAAAGTGGACAGGTCCAGCCATGGAATTGTACTCGATAAGGTTTCGTTCTCTAAACTCGGTGCACTTGGCATTGCCACTGCAGCATTTCCGACGTCGTTTTTTTCATTTGCTCCGGGGATTTTGAAACTTTTGTCGGAATGTTGCTTTTATTCTTATTCTTCTTGGCTGATTGACTTGTTCGACCACCTCTCCGCTTGTTCGCCGCCCCTTGTGACTTGGAAATATCTGTCGTCGGCGATGTAATATCAGTGCCTGTTCGTTGGAAACTGTAAATTTTTCTGCTTAAATGAGAATTCCAATAGTTCTTTATCTCATTGTCCGTTCTACCTGGTAAGTGTCCTGAGATCAGAGACCACCTACAAGACGACATATAGAGTGAGTGAATCGTTCGGTATAGAGAAATGATCTCATGGGCAGAAAAGTTTACAATTTACTTTGTAGAAAAGTTAGTTTTAAGTACCACATAACGCGTTCCTCAAGAAATATGAGTTTCAAGTTGTATCATTTCATTGATCTTGAAATGGTTTTTCTTTATCCATGGGCAATAAGTTTCGATGTATTGGGTGTATCTGTATTTATATGTTTAATTCTATCTAATACAACGTCGCAAAATACTAACCTATTACCCAACGAGCGTTGCAATTTAACGATGATTTCTTCTTCTTCGGTCGATATATTGCCCCTCTTCAAGTCGGATCTCAAGTAGTTAATCCATCGCAATCTGCAACTCTTTCCACACCTCAATAACCCTTCAAAAGTGTTAACACAATCAGAAAATTAGTATAATACACACATGCACACAGAGAGAGAGAGAGAGAGAGAGAGAGTTTGAACCTGCATTCTTGGGTAAAGACCTCCAAGAGCCTTCGCCATTAGCTTGAATGTAATTGGTGAGGATTTGATCTTCTTCTGCAGTCCATCTTCCCCTCTTCAAACCCACTTTTTCACAACAGGGGGCTCTTCCCATTTTCTGCCTATAGTAGTAATAAAGACTAGAAAAGTCGAAAGCATGCACACCACTCCAGACCTATTACATGACTTTAAATACTGCATGCATGTAGGCTGCAGCAATAGTTTTTATTTATAGACATAAAAAGAAATATAGTCAAGTGATTGTGGTGAAAAATTATGCCATGGAGGCTATAAAATTATTTAACCCCGTTTGATCCCCAATAAATTAAATTATATTACATTTCATTTTTCTCTCTCCTATTTTCAACCACACAATCTTCCATAAAATAATATTATACGTAAATCAAAAATTTTTCTTTCATTTTCAACCACTCATTTTTAAAAAAATACTATTTCCCCATTTTCATTTTCAGGTAATGGGGGTCAAACGGGGCTTTAGTTGTCGTGGCTAGTTGATAATTGCATTTTACACATATTTAAGTTATAAAATATGGATAATTATTATTAAATATATTGGAATATGGCTTAATTACATATAAATTATGTTTTATAGGATAAAATTGATGAATGTGAAGGAATTGAAGAGAAACAAAATAAAAAAGGATCAAAACAAAAGAAAACAAAGTTCATGGACCAATGTGAAAATAATCAAAAAGATGACCCTAAAGAAGAAACAAAGAGGCGAAAGGAGTCGAAATTAATTGAGCAAAAGAATGAAGTATTGAAAGAAGAACAAAATTCGAAGCTCGGGACCTAAAACGCAAAGTTTAGAAGCTTAGCAACAGACCACATAGTATATTTTCCATGCGATCACATTGTCATTTTCAGCAAATTTCAAGGCTGATTTTCTTTGAACTATGCTATAGTATTGATTTGTACCATGCTACAACATAGTACAATTTCGGAGAGAAAATTTTGATTTTCTTATTTGATTAAAATTTTTATGGAAACAAAACTTGCGACGCCTTTTAAAACCCTAGGGCCGTCCATAAGTGTTCATTACGCATTACAACACATTTATAAGGGATCATTAATACTATTTCAAAATATATTTTCCTTATAGGAAAACATGTGGTTGAAAATAAGTTTTGTAAAAATATATTTTTTAAATAATGAAACCCTATCATTATGATAAATTTTTTAGAGAATGTATAGTTATTTTTAAATTCTAATTTATTTAGGGCATCTCCGATCCTAACATTATTCCACCATATACATGTGTTCACCATTTTGCATTAAAAAAAAAAATAAATTGGTGTAAACGCTCACCAACCCAAAATAATAATTTAACTCAATTTTACACCAAATTGGTCAGTGTACCATTTTGTCCTTTTTTCTTATTGAACAATTTTTCTTAAGGCGATCTGTCCTTTTTAGTTATCCAACAAAAAATTATTATTATTATGTGTATTTGTAATATTTTCTTCATTGTGGTATTTGTATTAATTGTACTACATTTTTCATATATATAATGAATTCAATATTTTCGTTAACTAAAAATAATTATTTATTTTATAAAATTTATGTATTAATAAAATAAATAAATAAATGGTTAAAAATGGAAAAAAATTGAAGAAAATGATGAAATACTATTCATTTGGTGCAACTTTTGGTGTATTGAGAATTGGAGATAATTTTCAATTTGGTGCAAAATGATGCAAAATTTACCTCAAATTTTGGTACATAGTTGGAGATAGCCTTAGCCTATGTTTGATTTGATCCCTATTTTTTAAATGGTGGTTATATTCACACCGCATTTTTTTTTATATAAATATATCACATTTTAATAATGTTAAAAGTTATTATCCTATATTCATTGTAACATTTATATCCTTAACTTTTTTCTTCATCACGTTCTTATTTTCAACATTTTATTGGTAAGAAAATCTTGTTCTTAACCATGATTTTTGTCCAAAAATATTATTAACATGCTTTAAAATAAGGGTAAAATATTTAATCACTTTTGTATTATTATTTATTTTGCTTGTTTAAAATATAATAAACAAATGAGTATTTTACTCTATTTTAAAGAAATTTTGGAGCGAAACTATAGTTAGGAACAATTTATATTAATTTGAGAATAAGAATGCGACAAAAAAGTTTTAGACATAAATGTGATGATATGTAAAGATATGAACATTTTGTACAATTAAAATATAGTCTAGTTAATATTGTAAATATAGTAGTATTTATAAATGACATTTATACCCCTATAGCCCTAATCAACTGAAATTTGCTTGCCGTTTAGATATCTAAGTTTAGGGCATATATCACACTTTTAAGGGTTCAAGACCCATTACTATACCACGTGAACGTTTGGAAAGTTCGGATCTAATTTTTTCAAAATACTTTTATGTTGTTGTATATTAATATAAATTTTAGATAAATATTTTTTTTTCTAACATTTTAAACTATTAATTCAATGTCGTTTAATATGATATGATCAAGTGAAAGTCCTACATTCAAATATTAATTGTCATTAATTATGAAAATTACATCTAAATCAACGATCACTAATGAACTGCATTCAACTTGCATGGATAGGACATGCTAGATATTCAATTTTATTTTAGCCATGCATGACTCGTGTTTATAAAAATTCTAGGTCACATTTTGTCCTCACAATTTGAGTGACTTACAAATACTTCTAATTTATTCATAACCCATTTAGGGATGGTAAAAACAATTCGTCAAATTCGATATCCACGGGCCCAGCCTCAAACGGGGCGGGAATTATCCACTTAATCAATTATTTGTGTCGAAATTTAAGAATTCAATATTTGAAATGAAAAACCGCATGAAATTTCATTAATTCTAATAGAAGATGATAATTAAGAATATTTAAAGAATATGATAAGCAGTAAAAACTTTAGTTTACTAAATATATTTCAATAATTTAACTTTTAAAAATAAGTTAATTAATTAAAATGTAATAACTATATTATTATCTCACTTTAATGAATGGAGGTAATAAAATGAATTATCCAAAAAAAATAAATGGGTGCTAAACAGGACAAAGGCCCTATCCCGCCTTGCCTTGCCTTAAACGGGTAAAAGGGCGGTTACGGGTGGGAAATTACCCGACAGGACCCGTCCCAGTACCATCCCTAAACCTATTTAATATGCACTTCTCAAACATACTTATATATATATATATACACACACACACACA